AAAACCCACTTCCCGATCAAATTGGTGTCTACCAATTTTCCGATCTGGCAGCGTCAAGTTCGTTCCACCCTCATCGGCCTTGATCTTCTTGGCTATGTTGATGGCAGTCTCACTGCCCCTCCACAAACAGTAGCTGATGCTGTCAATCCATGTTATGGTATTTGGTTTCGTCAAGACCAGGCCATTGTTGGTGCTCTCCTCGGCAGCTGCACTGACACTATTCAACCTCTTATCTCAAACGTTGCCACGTCCCGTGAAGCCTGGCTTAATCTTCATTCCAGCTTTGCAAGCGCCAGTCGAGGTCATGTTCTTGCCCTCAAGTCAAAACTTGGCAAGAACCCCCGTGGTAATCGCTCTATCAATGACTATCTCCATGATATGCAGTCCATCTCCAATGAACTTGCGTTGAATCAGAATCCCGTCAAGGACGAAGACCTGGTTGCCCATGTTTTAAATCAACTTGGTTCTGAATATGATCATATTTCATCTGCGGCTTTAATTCGCGGTTCTGCCCTTTCCTTTCCTGAACTGGGAGACATTCTCCGGGATTTTGAACGTAAACTTCAAGTGTCTGATACGGCTGTTTCTAGTATGGTGGCCACGGCAAACTCTACTCAGCGTCACTCGGTGTCTAATTCTCGGTTCAATGGCGGCCATTCCTCCACGGCTCCTATAGCTTATCCTCGCCGTGGTCAGCAGCACCTGGGCTCGGGAAGGCAGACGCGGCGTCAAGATGGCGCTCATTCCTCCTGCCAGTTTTGCTCCATTCCCGGACATGATATCAAGGTGTGCCGCAAACTTGCTCGTCTACTTCGTGACAATGGTCTTCAGGCACATCCTACGGGTCCTTCCGTCCCAGTGGCTCACATGACTGCTGCTGCCCCAGTTGGTCTTGCCTCAGTGCAGTTTATGTCTGTAAAAATCCAGTTTTTCACTCTCGTATGAAGCACCTTGCTCTGGACTACTTTTTTGTTCGGGATCTCGTCGCAGCCGGGTTTTTGCACGTTTCTCATGTTTCCTCTGCTGATCAGACTGCAGATATCCTTACAAAGCCTCTTGGGCGTGCTCTCTTTCACAAGTTTCGGTCCAAGATCGGTGTTTCCGACGGAACCTCCGTCTTGCGGGGGCGTATTAAGGATACCAAATAGATATCATTTATATTTGTTTATATTTATCCTCTGTATAATATTATGTGTAGTATAGCCTTTGTAGTTATCTCTTCCTAATCATGTGCGCCAGACTCCTAGAGAATAGGATCGGCAATGTGCTAGGTGTGTATATATGTTTGCTTCATCAATGATTTCAGTATGTTTGATCAATACTTCCATACACAAATGGATCTCTAGATTTTTTAGATCTGAAAAAACGAGATCCAACTCTGGTAGAAGAAGAAAACGAAAAAAAGAAGAAAAAAATATGGCAGGAGAGAGAGAGGGAGATGAATGCTAGATCTAGCGAGAAAAGAAAGGAAAGAAGAAGAAGAAGAAGGAAGAGGAGGACGAAGATGACGAGGAGAAGAAAAGGAAGGGGGAAAGGAAGAGAAAGAGAAAGAGTGGAAGAAGGAGGAAGGAAGAGGTGGAGGAGGAAATAGAAAGGACGGGAAAGGAAGAGAGAAGAGAGAGAGAATACCTGCGTGGGAGTGGGATGGCAGACCGAGAGAGAAAAAAAGATGAGAAAGGATGAGGAGGGAGGGGTAATTTAGGAAGATTGGGTATGAAAACGTAGACTGGGAACTTTATTTCCGGACGGAAAAAAGCGTAGACTGGGAACTTAAAATTCGGACGGAGGGATTACTTCATTTATCAAATTAGATATTTTCATTTTTTGTCTAATTTTTTTTATTTTTTGAATATGTCGGGGCCAACAAAATAATGAGTAAAGTCTTTTTAATTTATGCGGATCGGAGTAGTTATGTATTAATAACATTTTAAACCCGTGTGCAAAGATTTTCTTCAATACTTAATTTTTCCTATATAAAAGTATTTTTTTCATATATTTTTCTTTTCCTTTATTTTCTTTTCTATTCTTTGTTCTTTTATTTTAATTTTGATTTTAATAAAAAATGGCATGCATAAAATCAATGAACTAAAAATGAGAAATGAGATTTAGTGTAAAAAGAGAATGTTTCATTGATTTGTATCATGAAAATGAACCAATAAAGAACTCTTTTGGATAAAAAATGAAAATGTTTAATTATAGACAAATGAAGTGTACGTTAATTATTTTTATTTACTTAATATTTTATTGCAAACACAAAGAATTGATTATTAAAAAATTATAAAAAATAAAAAAGAAATCAAAAATCATTTACGAAAAAATTAGTAGAAAAAAGAAAAATAATAAAGCAAAAAAGAGAGGGGGCATTGGTACACATTTCCAATATCATAAGAGGTAGCAGATTTATTTATCTAATATTTGAAGGATATTTTAGTCAAGAGGGTTTTACCGTAGGAATATTAGAACCATGAAGGACAACGTTGTAAATTTTGAAACCGTGAAGATAACGATGTAAATTTATCAAATCGCATTGGGTATTGGTGCAATAAACTCTTCAAAGTTAATACTAACATTACTTATTGGCACAAAATACTCTTAATACTACCTTTATTCCATAAAAAAACGTTCTAGTTTTACTTTTTTCGTAAATTATGAATATACTTTGACCATTAATAAATACTCAATATAAATTTAAATTAATAAATATTACTCTCTCCGTCCCTTAAAGTCGTTCCCTTATTGACTCTTTAAAAATTAAGAAAGGGATATTTTGGTGTTGACTTTCCAAAAATACCCTTGATGTAATACGTAAAAGTAAGATGTGATGGATAGATAATTAGTAAAAAGGTGAGATGTGATAGGTAGGGTATGAAAAAGTAAGAGGTAAAAGTGGTTTTTTAATAGATAAAAGAAAGAGTTAGTGGGACAATAAAAAGAGAAAGGGGAAGGAGTTTAAGGGACGGAGGGAGTATAAAAATTTGATAAATCAAAATTATATCTTAAAATAAATACAATCATATTAAATTTACATTATAATTAAACATTACTCACCAATTTTGGGTCAGTTATAATGTAGTATCTATTTATATTTTTTTCTCAACTTAATAACACACAAAGAGCCAATACCTTCATTTTTTTAGGACTCAAACTTGGATGAACTCCTCCATGAATCCTGAAGAGTGTTAGGGAGAAGTTCATTCCATCTATTTTATATTAATTAATCATTATAACTTCTTAAATATTCGTATGTTAGAAAATGAATAATTGTAGACATGTTTTAGGTTAAAAAATGAATGATTCTAGACATACTTTAGGTTCCTACTCATTCAATTTTTTAATGTATTGAAATGGTTTAAACACGCACTTCTAATTACGGAGTAAATTGAAAATGTCATTTTAGGACATTAAAAAAAGTAGATATATTTGGAACCGAAACTATAAAATGCGATGTATCAAACAAGATTTTTTTTTCTTTAATTTTAACATTTTTTTTGGGAGACTATCAAAATTTGATTGTCACAAGAAACAAAATAGGGAGAATCTCAATTTGGTGAAAATTTTATTAGGAGCATACTAAGAATTCCTTTATTTTTTAAAAATGACTTCCTTAATATGTTAGAATAACATCTTAGTTAGTCACAAAGATATTATTTAATGAAATAAAATATTCTGGTAACTTTTTATTTTGCAGAACTTTTGAAGTACTTTTTAAATATGTAAGTTTTTTTATTTATAAATCAATCTTTAAATAACAGGTTAGTTTGAACACTAGCAATGACGAGAAAAGAAAATCATCACCAATCTTTCTTTATGCTTTTCATCCATCCATATCATTAATTTTGAATGTTCGTGTGAAAATTTGTCCCATTATTGAGAGAATAAATAATCACCAGTTTTCTCTTATCTACTTCTTTCAAGCCACACCTGGCAATAATCATGAGCGCACAATCACCTTTCCAACTCTTTTTTCTCGTTGCACGTGACAAAATAAAATTTTCACGCGCGCGTAGAGTAGATAACATTCACTGTTACGGATCAAAAATGTCCTCTCACGAAAAACTTCCACATTACTGGGAATGAGTTTAATTAGTAAATACTATCACTAACCAGTAACAAATCTAAAAGGGAGCTAAGACATGGGGCACAAATTAATTATTGTCTATAAATAAATGAAATAATCATTCAAGTTTTTAGTATTATTCCCTCTATAACATTATAATATCTATTTTTTTCTTAATTAATGTCAAATCCAAATCCAAATATATGAAGAGTAACATTTCTTGCATGCTTGTTTGCCGGGTAGGGTGATGCCCCCCCCCCAGCCCCCCGGTGTCGGTAAGAGAGTAGCTTCGCGGCCTTTATGAAAAATTGGGTCAACTAATTGAGAACAATTGGTCAACGACTTTGAGGGGAGATTTCCATATACATCCTTTAATAAGCAACTTCCCTTCCCTTGCCTTCTTCTTCAAGCAAAAGATGATTAAAAGACAGCAATCCCACAATTATTATTGATGACCATTCTTATTATTACTTAGGAAAAAAAGAGTACAACATTAAAAAATATATTAAAATAAAAGTTTCATATTTTCATTTTTGAAAGTGCAATGAATAAAAATACATTTAGATCACCAATAATGACCATGTACATTGTGTAAAATACATATATGCAATGCTACATTACCACAGTACAAATTTTTAATTAAGAAATAAAAACATGAAATTTCTATTTTGATATTTTTTCTATGTTTTACTTTTATTTAGGATGATTTTTTCTTATTACTTCATCTCTCTTAAAAAATGATTTAATTTATGCATTATTGAAAGTGATGCAAGAGAATATAAACTCTATGAGCTACTCAAAATGAAGGAAAGAAAGGACATTTTTTTGAAACCTTTTAAAAAGGAAATAATTTTTTAAAAAACTGTTTTAGATTTCAATAAGTTGTTGTGGGCCCTAAAAATCACATCCCCATCTTGCCCTATGCACCTCAAATACATCAATCTCATATCTCCTGCATATTGAGGGCATCTTCAAATCCCAGATCTCATTTTGGGTGATAAGACTTAAAAAAAGGTGTGGGGTTTTCATCTTCAACCTTGGCTTACCCTTTCTCTCTCTCTCAAATTAGTTCTCATGTTTTGAATAATGTCCAAAACTCTCTAGCATTTTTTAAAAAAATTTATTTACAAATTGGTATAGAGATATAAAAAATATCATTTCTCAAAAAAAGGAGTAAATTCCATAAAAGGTCCTCAGTTATAAGTTGTTTTACATATTTAGTCTCTACATATCAAATATTACTAATTTAGTCCCCAATTATTATATTCATTTCTACGAATGGTCCTTTGTTAACATTTTCGTTAAGAACGTGGATAAAATTAAAAATTCACACTTCTTTCTCTCCTCAATTAAGCTTGCTTCCTCCCCTCGCACTCCTTTTCCAAACCCTTCGCTGAATTTGAAGTTTTGAACTCAAAACCAAAATCATCACTCTTCTCTCAATTGTTTGTCTAACTGGTGGAACCCAAATTTGAAATCACTAACCTTCATGGATGAGTTTTAATGTTTATTTTCTTTGTAATTTTTTGAGACTAACCGATAAAACTCATCCATAAAACTTATTGGTTTTGATTTTAAGTTCCACTAGGAAGACTAATAATTGAGAGAGAAATGATAATATCAGTTTTGGGTTTAGAGATTCAAACTCAGTGACGAGTTTGAGAAAGAGTACGAGAGGAGGGAGGAAGCTTAATTGAGGAGAGAAAGAAGTATGAATATAAATTTTATCCATGTTCTTAACAAAATGTTAACAAAGGACCATTCGTGAAAAATGATATAATAATTGGAGACTAAATTAGTAATATTTGATATGTAGGGACTAAATATGTAAAACAACCTATAATTGGGGACCTTTTATGAAATTTACTCCAAAAAAAGTTCCTTTTTCATTTTTTGTGTATCATATAAAATGCTTGTATCCCATCTAAAATAACTAAAATACCTCCAAAATATTTTTTACCTGTAATAAAAGATAAATTGGGTGAATCGTAGACGGGAAAAAGATTAAAGTAGAAGTGAAACATTAAAAATATATCAAAATAGGTGTTCCATGTTTTTATTCTTTAAATAGGAGTTAAATGTATTTACATTCACAATCATGACCATGTACATTACCAAAAGGAATAATAAAACGGGCATTACAGTGCCACATTATTACAATGCAAACTTCTATTTAGAAATAAAAATATGAAATTCCTATTTTGATACTTTTTCCATGTTTTACTCCTATTTAGGGTGATTTTCTTACCATAGGCATTATAGATATGGATAAAAGTGTATTTAAAGATGCACAAAAAGTGAAACAAAAACCCTTTTTAGGAACGAGGGGAGTACAACTTACTCCGTATATCTTTAAAAACTATATAAAATTTTTTGATGTTTCCTCGAACATGTATTCTAAATTTTTTTTTACAAATGCATCAATCCTATAAACACACAAAGTACTACTCCCTCCGTCCGGAAATAAAGTTTACGTTTCTCCTTTTTCTCCGTCCGAAGATAAAGTTTACATTTCTAATTTTAACCTACACTCTTCCAAAAATACCCTCCACCTTTTTCTAATTCACACCTATCCACTCCCATTCTCTTATCCGCCCCTTCCTCCTCCTCATTTACTCCACCCGTATCTGACTCTTCCTCTCCTCAATTAATTCTTCGCCTCTTCTTTTCCTCATTTACAGATCTAGATCTGTATACATTTTCTCAGTTCATCCATCTCTTCAATGGAATTCGATGATTATCTATATGAATCATGCATTCCAAAAACCCAATTTGTAGATGGCGCCTACGTCTACAGCTTTGACGACAAGGAGGAGGACGAGGTAATCGTTCTCGAGAATAACGAGAACGTTGCCGATGTTGCCCCGGTCAAAGCGAAAGAGGTAATCGACATTACCTCTGAAAGCAACTCTGTTATTCATCTAGAGAGCGAGGAGGTTGAGGTCATAGTTCTTGAAACTGATTCTGATGGCACAGAGGGATCTGATATCACTCCAATTCAAAATTCTTCCCAGATCTGCTCATGCATGCACCTCCACATTGATATGTTGAACATCTTACTTCCCAGTCCAGACCCTAATTTTTGGGCTTCGAAGTACAAGTAGGGAAGTACTTTTACATCCTTTGTCTGCATTCCTTTCGTTATGTGATGACTTATTGTGCTTGCGCAATATTTGATGCTGTGATTGTATCATAATGTGATGTTTTCCCAATCTATGATGACTGGATTTATTCTACATGGTCTGAGAAAGGATTATGTGCTGTGATGAGCAATTGATGAACTGTGGATGTTTTTGAGTACTTATTCTGTGTTCTTATTTTCTGTGAATACTGGATTTAAGTACTGTGATGAAGGATTATGGGCTTTTTCTGAGTACTTATAATCTGTTAGTATTTCCTGAAGATATGAAGACATTAATTACTGTAAATAAATATCCTAGGAATTGGAAAATGTACTATGATGAACACTTAGCCATGTGTGGGTGTTTCTGAGTACCTTATATGTATTCTAAGTTTCCTTAAGTTCAGCAATGATGATGTGGTATAAAGTAAACAAAGGTAAGGTATGTTGGATGTTGTAAATACATATAGAGCAGGTTGTGTAGTTACCTTGTTCTGAGTACATATATACAAAGGTTCAAGCACTTGCAAAAAACAAAAAAAATTTAAGCACTTGGAAATACACTCCCTGCCAGCATCCCAAAAACCAAAAGCCCTTCCCTGCCAGCATCCCAAAAACCAAAAGCCTTTCCCTGCCCAAAAAACCTTTTTGTTGTTCCCATTCCATTCAGTTCAAGTCTGAAAAGAGGTATTCATCTTCCTCTTCAGGGTTGAACTGAATCATATCTTCAGGTATACTCCCATTTCCTTCTCCAAGTAGTCTTGCTGTGTTGACAACTACCTCTGGGTCTATGTGAAGGGACTTAGGCAGTGTCCCAGAACTTTCCAGTCTGCCTTTGCCCATATTCTGCAGTTTATAACTGTTTCCTCCTTTTTCCATGATTGTAGTCATGACCTGCTGATAACTTAACCAAACTTTATTTAAAGTTTCTGGATTTAGAGCATTATAAGCTCCTTGAACTGCCTCTAACAATTCCTCAACTGTGTTTGGAGCACACTGTTCTTTTAAGGACTAGATGGCTCTAAAAACCCAAGATCAAGGACATTTAAATCTGAGGAGTTGGGGGGTTGGTTACCTAGGGTAATGTGGAAACCATTACTGTTTCCTGCAGCTACAAATTCTGAGTCTAAACCTTGAATGTGTGGCCTAGCATTATCCTTTTGAATATGAATGTTCTTTGATAAATTTCTAGGCCACTTCTCTTGGATAGCTGGAATTACTTTATTTATAAGCATGTCTTTTATGACTTGTTTGGTAACTGCCTTGATTGGTTTGACTTCCAAGACCCCTTTAGCCCTGTTCTTGCTCCTTCTTTTGGCTTCAACAGTTTCAGTAAAATGAAAAATGCCAATTTTTCCATCCAAAAGAACAACTCCATTATCATCAATAAGTGGTCTACCAACCACACACAAGAACATGACTTTTGTAATGAACCTTTTTGATTTGCAAGTCCTATAGGGGTCAACTTCTTCAGGAAGAAGGTAAAACCTCTGAGATGTTTTGGTCATAAAGAACCACTTCTCATCAATGTGCAATACATTATGAAAAGACTTGAATATAGGTTGGTGAGGCATACTCAAAGGTTCTATTTGGTCTAAACAGAATTTCAACCTAGCTTGTTTATTAGCAGCAGTTAGGTATGGTTTGATAGCATTTGTGTGACTCCTAAGCATACCTCTTTTTATCCACTGATGGACAATAGACTTTGGCTTGCCAATTGCTGCTGCTAATGTTCTGATAGTACCCCGCTTCCTGAGGGGGGTATCTGCAATGACATTTACATCCATTTCTGCCCTTTTCCTCCCACAATGACCTGCCATTTTGCTTCTCACGTCAATGGCAACCCCCTGCTCTAATTGTTTTTTTACGATGACCCATATCTTGCTAATCGTTTGTCTGGAGACATTAAACTATGCAGCAAGCGTGTTGATCTGCCCCCTCTGAGCTGAATAGGAACCATCACTATTCTGTTTTGAATTTCGTACTAAACCTTCACTAATAAGCTGTCTTGTAGTTTTGTCAAGTTTTTTGGAATTCATCTATGGATTTTGAATCAATTTTGCAGGGATCCAAAAACAGAAAAAGAAAAAGAAGAAAAGAGGCTGTCCCAGCCAGCCAGGAGGAGGAGAAGAAGAAGATGAGAGAAGAATGAAGGAGCCAAAAGGGGAAAGTCAATGATTTTATATAACCATGGAGGGAGTTAGACATGTTGGGGTTTTTTTTGGGCGGGAAGGGAAAAAACTGGAGGGACCTCCAAATTTGTTTGTAATGTTAATGTATTTGGTCATTTTTAATCATTGTTATGTAATGTTTGATTGGATGTAAAACAATGTTTAAATAGTGTTTTCTCCCCACTACCAATAGTCTTTTCTTTTTTTCCTATTCCCAACCACACGCACCATTCTTTTCCTTTCCCTTCTTTTTCCTTCATTAAGGGTATTTTGGTCATTTCACAGTCTTAGTCAACCTCTCTGGATGGAGGGAGTACGTGATAGTGTGATACTTCACATTATTATCTATAAACTTACAAATATGTCATAGCAAATTTAAAGGTCTCAAAATACAGGGTATAAGTACATACAAAGCATTTTTATAATTATAGATTGTATTTCCTGCATCCTAATTTAAATCGCCTATTTTAGTTTATAATATTTGACTGAAATTATGTTCAAATCATTTGATACGAAAAACGGTGTAGAATTACAAAATAAAATTACTCCAAACATCTACAAAACTAGTGGTGACATGATTATATTATTTTATCAAATGACTAACGAAAATAAGAAAAGAAAGTGAATGAGATTCAACCATGTGAATAATAAACAGACAATTTAATTTGGGACGGATGGAGTATTTAACTTTTTCCTCAAAGAAAAATATTTATATTCTATAAATAATTTGTAAAAATTTACTTTGTAATAGAAGAAATTAACCAATCAAATGTGAGATTTTTTCTAAAAAACTAAAAAATTTACAAAATATAATATAAAGAGCAGATCAAACTTGGACCGACCTAACCGGATTACCCAATCCTAGATCTATTTTATTTTCTATAGCAAATAGCAGATAGTTCGAACTGTTTGAGAAAAAGGACCCGACCAATCCCGTCCTAAATAGTACTCCGGAGTACCAGACTTTCTAAAGACCGATCTAGTCTGACCCGTCCAATACAAGTATTAGAGGAGGGGAAAACCTACGTTCACCAATGACCATTTCTCAGAAACATGAAACATTTTCTTCTAAACTTTCCCAGGTTGCAAGATGTGAATATGAAGCCAACTAATTATTCCCTATCAAACCCCACTAATTATGAGAACTCAGATTCAAATATCTTTTAAAAATGAAATTAAATCCCAAGGAAGAACCTTAAATTTTCTCCCCAAAGCATTCAGTAAATTGCTTCGACCATCGTCGTCATCATAAAACTCTAACGAGCTGGAATAAATATGTATCACGAGCAGAATAATCTCATCTCGTACGCTACTTGCTTGCGAAACCGACCGGTTTTTCTTCCAAAGAGGTGAACATGAAGTTCCCAGAAAAGACAGCGGCTTTATCTGTTTGTTCATAAATGCCTCATCAATTAATAGTGTAAGAAGCCTAACACGTGAAAACACAGATTGACCTCTACACAAGATACCCTCCCTTTCAGTGTTCTACTATAAGCATAAGTTCCTAGGTGGATGTTGGAGAACTAGGATTAGAGTAGCTGGATAGGGGCCCGCTGCTTCAGAGATTTTTTTGTAGTGTGTTTTGTTTGGTTGGAAATTTTTGCTATTGCTTGCAAGACTTTCATTCCATTGTACTTGGTGCTTTATCTGTGTTATACTGTGATTCTTATCATATTTTTTGTGCACTTGGAGCCGGGGGTCTCTTGGAAACAGCCTCCCTACTTCCGAGTATGGCAAGGTCTGCGTATAGCCATACACACACCCTCCCCAGACCATACCATACTGTAGTGGGATTCAACTGGGTTGTTGTTGTTGTTCCTAGGCGGATGCTAAGTAGAGAGTTGGTTGAGGAGTGAGAACATACCGGTCAATGAGAGACACTTGGTTTCCCGGTGAACATAGCGTGACATAGCCTGCAGATACCAAACACGTTCAATCAATTCCAAAAAAAAAAACTGCAGGTAAATGAGCTGTTCCCATTCTGGGTTCGTTTGGAACCTCGAAGATGACAGGGGAGTATAATAGAGAGGAAATGGAGAATAAATTGGAAGGAAAGAAAAAAATTGATAGGATTGAACTCAATAAATTTGTTGTAGGCACTTTTCAAACTCATTTTGTTGCATGTTAACTATTCACAAAAAAGAAATTGCACATTTTCCCACCACCAGACATGCCGTGTTGGATTTTGACATGTCTCATAATATTACCAACTTGGTCTAAATAGGATTAGTTGGATATGGTTGCAGCAGGACATTGCTACTCGTTTTCCTATACAACGCTACTATTAAGTTCAACTGTTCAACACAGAAAACCCATGTCGAGAAACATGAGTGGATGTATGACAAGAAATAAGAACACTTGCCTGGACAGGAAGCAAGGCAGGATCATTCGGAGTTAAAGTGCCATCATCCGAGAACACATTCCTATAATATTACAAAAAGACTAAAAACTTTAGGCAACATTGCACAAGCAAAGATAAGATAGATGGAAAATAAACACTCAAATCGCAATGCATGTATGTACACTAAGATAATAGTCATTCTTTATGTGCGCATATAAATGTTGGTGTTCAACAAAAAAGAAAAGGGAAATAAGAAGAAGACTCATGATAGAAGTAGGTAAGAAATCGATTTACCTCCAAATCACATTTTGCAACTCATCTGGCTTTGCCTCAGGAAGAATGGCAGCATCATAAGCAACAATGTTGCCATAAAAGATTTTCTCCAATTCCTTCATCCATTTACTCAACAGCAAGTTAACCTGCTGTTCCAAATAGGATGGGGGACATGAAATTAATAATGTAAAACATTAATATATTATTTCTCTTAAAATGGAGACGGTCAAAGGTTCTAATATCGAATGAAGGTTTTCCCTTCTTCAGATCTGAATATGGATGATATGCTCGAAATGATAAGCAAGCAAACAAGGGAATACAACATCTAGATTCAGGACAGAAGTTCAATAACTACCCCAGCCTTAGAAACTCTCAGTTCTAGATCATGATTGTATCTCTCATACAAATATTGTCCCAGCTCAGAACCCTCCTTTCCATCTTCTTTCAAGCGGCGCAAGCATAGCCACATATGAAGAACAAGCACAGAGAATGTTGTTCGAAATGTCTTCTCCAAGCAAAATACTGCAAAATATAAAAAGATTTGAGTTACTTTTTTGGTTATGGTAATAAAGTGCAGAAAAATATACTCTCTCCGTCCAGCAATAAAGTTCTCGTTCACTATTCACAAGGTCAAATGTTATTCACTTTGTTGGCCTATTTTCGTGTCATATTTGATAAAATAGTATAATCACGCCACGTCTAGTTTTGTAGATCTTTTCATGTAGTTTTTAAATATGTAATATTTATTTTTCAATTCCGTACCACCTTTCGTATAAAATGATTTAAAAATAACTTCAGTCAAACATCGTAACGCACAACGGGAACTTTATTTATGGACGGAGGGAGTATTAAAAAGCAATGACTAAATTTTTTATGGTACTTTTGCAACATGTAAGTAAGCTTTTCATTAGACAAACGAAACTACATAAAGTTACTGGAAAGTTAGAACTTAGAACAATCCATACTCTCCTAAATGCTATTCCTTCAATTTCTATGCAGATAATTTTAGGGAAAGTAGATAACAACGCATGAAGTTGGCATCTATCTATGTTCCCATACTTTTACTACTAACACAAGGGAAGAATAAGCAGAAAACAGAGCAGAGAAAGACTGACCATCATATATAGCGGGTCTATCAACTTGACAAGTAATGCGGTGATAGATAGCATTTGCCCCGCGAATGGCTGTACTTTGCTTACTGTAAAACATCATCAGTTTGAGGATAAAACGCTTGATTCCCTCATACTGAGGCTCTTCTATCCTTTGTGGTGAGTCAGAGGGCAATTCTAATGATGATGGTTTAGACCAAAACATCTTGTTTAGATTTACCTGCTTTAATTATAAAATGTATTTAGCAAACAAATCATACAATAAGGACGCAATGCAAAACACCATTAATCCCCTAAGAAGCACCTAATTGATACAGGTATCGAACCTTTTTCACTTAGTACTGGAAACTCAAATCTAATGTGCTTAAAATATTCACTTAGTACTGTTGACCAAAAATGTTCTACACTTAGTACTGGAAACTAAGATCTAATGTACTTAAAATATTCACTTTCCACTAAGATATCAAAATACAAGGAGTATTTATCTTTTAGACCTCAGATGTGTGCATCTACCTAAAAATCACATTAAAAAATGGATCCTTTATAATGCAAACCTCATTTTTAATGCCAAAGCTTTTCTGGGTGGGATTGTCAGTGACTAGCTCAGCTGCCTCCTCCGTAAACTTTGAAAAGCTTGGATTTTGCAAACAGAAAAACAATTTCCCCATTTCCATGTTCCTCCCGGAGTTCATCCTACTTAAATGAATAACAGCTTTACTCCATCTAGGAAGCATTTTGCGCAAGCTATGAAATGCTGAAAAGTGAAAACAACATTGATCAGAAGTTAGGGAAATAAGTCAAATTTCTTTTTCACTAAGAGCTAGCCAGGCGGCAGCCAAGTGCCTAGTCATAGTAAGCGGAAACTTACAATCAGAGCAAAAATGCATAAGGACTAGGGGTGTTCATTGGTCTAAGACCGGACCGGACCGGACCGGACCAGACCGAAGACCAAACGAGATCAAATGTAGGACCGAAGACCGGACCTAAATGTTATCGGTCTTGGACCGGACCGAACCGAAATTTTATGGACCGAATCGGTCCAGACCGATTGGACCGACCCTAACCCAAGGGACAACAAAAAACAATGTATAAATCAATTTGCAACACCTCAATTTGAACAGTTTAAAAAAAAAAAAAGTTGCAAACATTTCACACATTTTAATGTATTGCAACTTCAAAATTGAGTAAAAAAGACAGTGAATAAATGTTTGCTCTCCACTGTCATTAATGCACACTTGAACAGAAATGAAATGGATTTATGGCAGCCACTCTTGAAACTTGAAACTGTTGAGAATTTGAAACAGCCACCCTAAACTCAGTAGCCACTAGCCAGCAATCCCAGCACTAAACACCACCATTCACCTGCAAACATTGAGCCATCCATTGGAATAAAATTTGAAGAACAATATAAGAATAAACTTTATTACTTTAAGCTACAAGCCTATAATGGATATGTTACAAAAAGATTACAAAAAGAAGAAAAACAATGGTACTAATAACATTGGAATGAAAATGCAAGTTTAAAAAATTACTTGTAATCGAGTTCTTTATTCCGTGACAAAGATCAAATCATCATCTATTTTTGCATTCTTTAAATCCAAAAATGGGAGAGTTACATATTAGACTCATTCCACCATTTACGATCTCACTAGTCACAAAATCACAGTTTCGGATATGTAAGACTCGAGCTCCTCGATATTTAATCTCAAATTCTAAAATATTACACGCGTGCTCCTCGATATTTAATGACTATTTCTGTATTTCATGATCATTTCTTTATAGAGGATATTTTGAAATCAACATTTGAGTGAAAAAAGTGAATATAGATTGATTTTCAAATAGTGACCCATGAACTTAATATCTTAAAGTTGTGGACTTTATATAGAAAAATTATTGAAGAATAGTTTATGAAAATTTCTCAGCTAAAATTGTAGGTCTTACATATACCTTAGAGTTTACCACAATTAAAAAATCAGCAATGATGTAATTGTCCATGTTCCAAAATGAAGTAGGAAAACAACCTTGAAATGTAATTGTCCAGATTCAAAGCAACCCATTGATAAATGATAAAGTGCAAAAGCAATTAAAAATTACCAGACTATAGCAATATACACAAGTTGGAGCAATATAAACAAAAACAACCAGACCATAGCAGTGCAGAAATATAAACAAACAAAACAAGATTCTAGGATCCTTTAAAAAGAAGAAACCTTGAAAAAAATTGGTGATTTATTGATAAGTAAATTGAAAATTACCTGCGCGTTGCGCCACTGTTTGAATCCGAAGAGTGAGAGAGAGACGATAGTGGACTGACTGATGACGGAGAAGGTGGAGATTCAGGGGATGACAAACGACGGAGAGGGAGACGACGACTTGCACCTGAGATGGACACGGTGATTTTCGCGATGAGTGAGACACAGTGGTGAGGGAGACAACGATTCAGTCTGTGAGGGGGGCAGATGGCAGAGAAGGCGACAACGATTCATGTGGAGATGGCAGAGAGGGCGACGGCAATAAAGGAAAAGGAGAGGTGAGGGAGACGGCGATTTGTGGCTGTGAGGCGAAGAAAATAGGATAGGGTTGAGTGGTTGACTGGCTGAGTGCTTGACGCATTACAAATTAGATTACGGAGTAATAGGTTTCTCTGTCTCTCGGTCCAAACCGATTGGTATTCGGGTATAGACCGGACCGGACCGAAACCCAAAATCAGAAATAATCTGGACCGAAGACCGACCCAATATCATTTCGGTCCGGGTTCGGTCGGTTTTTCAGGTCCAGACCTAAACATGAACACCCCTAATAAGGACCCTATCTTCCGACTTCCAACTACTCTTTCACAACACACTTTATTAAACAAGTACTAAACCAACGAGCACATATCGGTTCGATCGGTTTTTCAGGTCAGTTTAGTTCTCATTGGTTCTATGGAATTGAATCCCATGGGATTCAATTCCAATTCCGTCAATTCCGTATACTAAACTGACCCTAAATAAAAGATCACAAATTTGATTTCCAATGAAGTGAGAAAGTTCTCATTAGAGTGGAGGCTCCCTAAACAAAAACAAACATGAAAATGTGTTACAAGTTACAACAAACGATTAGAAACAATTAGGAAGCATAATCCCGCTGGCTGGCTCACTCCCTCCCGTCCAGATCGGTCGATCAAACTGATGAAGATGGCGATCCTCTCTCTGTAATACCCAACTTCTCCATAGCCATCCGACGCCAAAAGAAAGAGAAGCCTGATTGAGAGCAGCGATGTTTCAGTCCATTTCTGATTTCTGATTTCTTTTGGCAGTCTTGCCGACTAGTAGCAGGCAACACGGTTAGAGCACAACAGCATTTATGCTTTCTTCTTAAAATCCTNAAATCGAATTTGTGATCTTTTATTTAGGGTTAGTTTAGTTCTCATTGGTTCTATGGAATTGAATCCCATGGGATTCAATTCCAATTCCGTCAATTCCGTATACTAAACTGACCCTAAATAAAAGATCACAAATTCGATTTCCAATGAAGTGAGAAAGTTCTCATTAGAGTGGAGGCTCCCTAAACAAAAACAAACATGAAAATGTGTTAAAAGTTACAACAAACGATTAGAAACAATTAGGAAGCATAATCCCGGTGGCTGGCTCACTCCCTCCCGTCCAGATCGGTCGATCAAACTGATGAAGATGGCGATCCTCTCTCTGTAATACCCAACTTCTCCATAGCCATCCGACGCCAAAAGAAAGAGAAGCCTGATTGAGAGCAGCGATGTTTCAGTCCATTTCTGATTTCTGATTTCTTTTGGCAGTCTTGCCGACTAGTAGCAGGCAACACGGTTAGAGCACAACAGCATTTATGCTTTCTTCTTAAAATCCTAACTTCTTCATCTCAAATTCCAAGTGTTATTATGATTTGGAATTGAATTGACCATGTGTTTCGTTATAATTCTTATTTCCCTAAACAATTATTTCCTAGTGAAAATTGACCTATTTCCCTAACTTCCGATCAACGTAGTACCCTAAGGCCCTGTTTGGTATACAAAATTCAAATTATAGAATTGGAATTGAGCACTTCAATTCTAATTCTGGTGTTTGGTAGCACAAAAATTATGTAGATTTGGAATTGATAGTGCAAAAAATGGATTAGAATTGGCAGAATTCAATTCTATGGAATTGAATCCCATGGGATTCAATTCCAATTCCGTCAATTCCGTATACTAAACTGACCCTAAATAAAAGATCACAAATTCGATTTCCAATGAAGTGAGAAAGTTCTCATTAGAGTGGAGGCTCCCTAAACAAAAACAAACATGAATGGGGAGCCAAGTGCCTAGCCAGGCGGCAGCCAAGTGCCTAGTCATAAGTAAATTGAAAATTACCTGCGCGTTGCGCCACTGTTTGAATCCGAAGAGTGAGAGAGAGACGATAGTGGACTGACTGATGACTGAGAAGGTGGAGATTCAGGGGATGACAAACGACGGAGAGGGAGACGACGACTTGCACCTGAGATGGACACGGTGATTTTCGCGATGAGTGAGACACAGTGGTGAGGGAGACGACGATTCAGTCTGTCTGTGAGGGGGGCAGATGGCAGAGAAGGCGACAACGATTCATGTGGAGATGGCAGAGAGGGCGACGGCAATAAAGGAGACGGAGAGGTGAGGGAGACGGCGATTTGTGGCTGTGAGGCGAAGAAAATAGGATAGGGTTGAGTGGTTGACTGGCTGAGTGCTTGACGCATTACAAATTAGATTACGGAGTAATAGGTTTCTCTGTCTCTCGGTCCAAACCGATTGGTATTTGGGTATAGGCCGGATCGGACCGAAACCCAAAATCAGAAATAATCTGGACTGAAGACCGACCCGATATCATTTCGGTCTGGGTTCGGTCGGTTTTTCAGGTCCAGACCTAAACATGAACACCCCTAATAAGGACCCTATCTTCCGACTTCCAACTACTCTTTCACAACACACCTTATTAAACAAGTACTAAACCAACGAGCACATATGATTTCTAAAGTTTCAAACAACTCTACTACAATAATCAAAACCATTGTTAAAATTGCACTTGAGATCACAAGATTGAGCAATTTTACACGACAGGGTAGCTAGAACAATTCGAATCGGAACAAAGAAAAAAAGTTGAAGGAGATCACAAGATCGTGTAGTTGGGTTGTCTAATACACATATGAGCAAACCGAAACCTAGTATATATTGATTAATTTCATAGAGGTAAGATTGACAAATTTGCTAGACAAAATGCTTGGCAGCCCATAGAAAAAAAACAGTTGCATAAACATTGCTAGTCAAAAGTGACCATATACAGCTTCAAGTGAAACATTTAAACATACGAAAATTCAAAGCTGTCCATTGCATGTTATGTTCAGAATTGATAAATCAGAATGTCTGCATTTAAATACACCAGAATTTCAGAAAATAAAGGGCAATGCATGAGCACAGAAATTTGGTGTCCTAGTAATAATGGTCCCACCACCATTGGTGGATCCAAAACAAAGCATCGTCGGGGGCACATTTGTTAAACAAATCTAACATCCACCTCTCCAAAAAAGTCTAGTGAACTTTTCATGACATCCTGTGACTAATCTGAAAAAACATTTGTCACTCTTAAAGATATGTCTTTGAAAACTTGTGTCACAAATGTCGAATATTAAGTTCTTTTTTTTCTGTATGGAGGAAGTAAAGCTAGATTGGGGAATATTACCAGAACC